CGACTAAGCCACCCAGGCGCCCCTGTTCTGTAGCTTCTTGAACTTCACCTTGGGAGGCACTGAGCATGTGAGCTGCCCAGCACAGTGGCTGCCGCAAGAGGCCGGAGGCCTTGGCGGTCACTCAGGAAGGCCTGGCTTGTGGGAAAGATGTGTAGTGTTTCCTGGGACTGTGGGGGCAGATGGTCACCGCTGGGTCCCTCCTCCAGGGCTTTGAGGCTGCCCGAGACGTGGAAGCTTTGATGGAGCGCATGAGGCAGCTGCAGGAGAGCCTGTTACGGGATGAGGGGGCGTCCCAGGAGGAGATGGAGAGCCGCTTTGAGCTGGAGAAGTCGGAGAGCCTTCTGGTGACTCCCTCAGGTAGAGGACCTCAGGCTGCCCCCCTCTTTCACCATCTCTCCTGGAGAGGAGGCAACTCCGTGCATAGTACCTCTTGTATTTTGGAGGCCACATCTCAACCACTCCTTCTAAGAGGTTCTGAGCGTGGACTTTTAGGGTCAGACCTGGGTTTGAATCGTGACCCGTTAGCCCTTCTGGTAGTGTGACCACTGAGAAGTCACTGGCTGCCTCAGGACCTCAGTCTCCTCCCACGTGAAGGATTGGTTTGTAGGGTAAATGGGACTGTAGAAGCAAAGCTCTTAGCACAGAGTAAGTGGCTCCACAAATAACTACGGTTGTAAGGATCACTACTCTTCTTGCTTGGGTCTTATCCTCTGGGCTCATGGGCCCAACTCCCCTCCCGCCCCCAGCCTGGCTCCCTGTAGCGAGGGGCTTTCTCTGGCCCTCCACTCTGTACTCACTGGCCACCTATTGATGAATCAGTAGGTGCCCCTGTACTCCGTGGCTGGACCTCACTTTGACCTCTTTCTGACATCCTTAGCTGACATCCTGGAGCCCTCTCCACACCCAGACATGCTGTGCTTTGTGGAGGACCCCACTTTTGGATATGAGGACTTTACTCGGCGAGGGGCTCAGGCGCCCCCCACCTTCCGTGCCCAGGTAGGCTTGGCGTTGCCCCAGGTTTACAAATAAGCAGGGGGTATATGGTGTGAGTGGTCAGAGAATCGGGCACCTTCTCCCTCAAGATTCCATGAGGGGAATGGAAGACCCTAGATCATGACAGGACCTGTCTGTGCCCTAAGCTCAGGGGATCCTGATCATTAGAAGGTCATCACCAAGGTGCATCCTCCTTGGCTTCTTTGGCCAAGACCAAGCAGCAGGTTAGATTTGTGGGGTGGGAAGGAGACATGATGGAGAGTGAAGTTGTACTCCAGCAAAAGGGGTCCCGATGGCCAGCCTTGGCCCCCAAAGATTCTACCCACTGACCCCTTCCCATGTTTGTCAGGATTATACCTGGGAAGACCATGGCTATTCACTAATCCAACGGCTCTACCCTGAGGGTGGGCAGCTGCTGGATGAGAAGTTCCAGGCAGCCTATAGCCTCACCTACAACACCATCGCCATGCACAGTGGAGTAGACACCTCCATGCTCCGGAGGGCCATCTGGAATTATATCCACTGTGTCTTTGGTATCAGGTGAGCACACACACACCCCCCCCCCGCCCCCTCATCCAGGACATACGTACACAAGTCCTCAACTGAGTTCACAGCTGTTTCCTTTCTTCGTTGGCTTCTTTTCCCTTCTTCCTGCCTATACTATTTTTTCCAAGCAAATTTTTTTCATTGCTGATTATAAAAGATAATGTGCTCACTGTTTGAACCTTATAAATGAAACTCTCTAATCCCACCCCCTAGAGATAACAATGGAGGTAGAGAGACAGTGTGTATATTTCCATTCCAAGTAGGAGTTCTCTTAGCGATGAATAAGGACAACATAAATACCCGTCAGTATGGGACTCTAAACAACATTATATCCACTCAGTGAAAAAGTATGCAGGTATTACAAGTTATAATGATCTCTTGATCTTGCTATGGGAAATTATTTAAAATGTATTGAGAAAAAAAGCTGGCTACTAACCCAAATCTTTTGACCTCCCCCCCCTTTTTTTTTTTTTTTTACCAAAAATGTGTACATGCATGGAAAATGTGTGAAGGTTATATACTAAAATGTTAATTAATAATGGTTGTCTCTGCATAGTATGTGATTACTTTTCATCTTGTTACCTAAGTATTTTCTAATTTAAAAACGTTTTTTTAATTTATTTTGGGAGAGAGAGAGAGAGAGTGAGCATCAGAGGGGCAGAGAGAGAGGAAGAGAATTCCAAGTAGGCTCTGTGCTGTCAGTGTGGAGCCCGATGTGGGGCTCAAACTCATAAATGGTGAGATCATGACCTGAGCCAAAATCCAGAGCCAGACACCTAACCAACTGAGCCACCCAGGTTCCCCTCTGACTTTTTGAAAGTAGATTTTTTTAATTTATGCTTTTTAATCACTGCATGGTATTTCATCATGGATGTAGCGTGTATTTCAACCATTACCCTATTGTTGGGTGTGTAGATAGTTGCAGTTTTTCACTATTGCAAACACCATGTGCACTGACTAGCCTCACACCTACGTCCTTGTAGGTGAGCCCTAGGTGTGAGATTACCTGTCAAGTATATACACAGACCAATTTTTTAAAAATGTGTATTTATTTTTGAGAAAGTGAGCAGGGGAGGGGCAGAGAGAGGGAGACAGAGGATCCGAAACAGGCTCTGTGCTGACAGCAGAGACCCCCAGTGTAGGGCTCAAACCCACAAAATGCGAGATCATGACTTGAGCTGAAGTCTGACACTTAACTGACTGAGAGAAACCCAGGCGCCCCCGCTTTTTTTGTTGTTGTTGTTCATGTCTCTCTGATAACATTGGGAAATTCAAAGGATTAAGGAAAATAAACCAATTTCCCCAAATTTGACTACTCCATGGCCCACATCCACATCCTGTGACGTTCTTTCTCTATTGCTTTTCTTCTTTCTAACGTAGTTGCTTTCATGTCGTTGGAATTATAATGCTTATTACATTTTTCCAAATATGTGTTTGATGTTTGTAAGGAGGAACAACTAGATTTATAGTAAATTTAGAAAACAGACCACAGAAAGAAGAAAGATCATCTATGATGCCACCTGCTCTTATTATTTATTGTCAAGGATTTCTTTCCTGTCTTCCCACGCCCCAATAACCAAAACGTATCATTCTACAAACATAAGATTTTCTTCCTACTCATTTTACTCTCTTTACTCACTTCATCAAATGTGTGCATGTTTTAGCAAACACACGATCTTACTTTTCTCATTTAATGGTTTATTCCAAGCATCACATCAATCCAAAAAAATCCCCAAATTTTTAAAAAGGCACATGTTCCCGGTAGAAAATGTGCACTGCTCTGTATTACTAGCTGTAAATCGTATTCAATTGAGTGGATTGAGTTGACTTACCTGGGCCTCCTTACCTGGGCCATTGACAGATTTCCAGTTCAGGGGAGGTAGAGGGAGAGACCGACCTTTTCGAGTGTGGCACGGACTAGCTCCTGTCCGGCACCCACATCCGGGCTCCCCCATTCTCCAACAGGGTCTTTGCTCCTATGCCTTTGTCTACTGAATCTGTCTTCCAGCTCTCAACCAGTCTTCCCCATCCATACTAATTCGTGATGACTGACTGGCTCCCTGGACTGGGGAGTGACAAAGTGGTTCTAGACATGTCACCAACTTGCTCTTTGACTTTGAACAAGTCGATCGTCTTCTTCAGGCCTTAGTTTGCCCATCTGTGAAAACACGTACCATTTCTTTTTCCTTTTCCCTCTTCCTTGTCCAAGAGAAAATATTTGTCCAGGCCTCCTGCCCCTTCTTATATGTCCTTTACTGAAATGAATAGGACCTTGGAGCCAGGCAGAGCTGGGTTTGAATTCCATTCCCAGGGCAAGTGATTTCGGTTCCCTGACTCTCCATTTCGGCTATAAAATGGGGCTGATGAATCTGGCGTATTATATGTAATAGTTCTGTAGACAGTATATATAGTAGTTTTGAGGATTCCTTGAGTACATGTTCATACAGCACATGGCTAATTCTCTGCAGTCTTTCGAGTGGTCCCCTGCCAGTCTGGCGGTGGCCTGTGATGTGGGACATCAGCTGTTTTTCTAAGAGGAACCAGACTTCTACTCACTTCCTACATTCTGCCTTTTCTTGCCACATGCTGTTCCTCCTTCTATAGGGTGGGGGTAGGGGACAAGAGTCAACTTCTGGGAGCAGAGGATGGGTGATGCTGTTGGGGCCTTTCCATCCAGATATGATGACTATGACTACGGGGAGGTGAACCAGCTCCTGGAACGGAACCTCAAGGTCTATATCAAGACGGTGGCCTGCTACCCAGAGAAGACCACCCGAAGAATGTACAACCTCTTCTGGAGGCACTTCCGCCACTCAGAGAAGGTACAGCCATTGGGGCAGGCGGGGTCGGTACCCAGTGAGGTATCCCAGCCCGGAGTCTCTGCCAGTTGGGACACCTGGGTTCAAGTCCTACTCTAGTGTGTGATTTTCTCATTTACTCACCTCTACAACGGGCATGTGCTTCACGGGGTCCTCAGTGGCAGCCAGGAGGACCTGGGGTCAAATCCTAACACGGTCATTCAGTAGCATTATGACCTTCGGCAAGTCACTTTGCCCCTCTGAGCTTGTCTTTATAGCGAAAACAGATGCTGCTCACGTTTCAAGGTTGCTGGGGGGATGAAATGAGAAAATGAATGCCCCGGGGGGGTGTGCTTGTTTTTAGCTTTGGGAGATAAAGAGATGAGTGGGGATAGGGATAAATGTGCTGGAAATTCTTCAGCAGTCATTGCCCCGAACTGCTCTGTGCCTTTGGAGAGGTCAGGGCATCTTTATGGGAGAGGGGGATGAGGTGAGTGGAGGCTGGTCAGGGGAAGTGGCAGTCTGGGGATGATGCGGATGGCACCCAGTGACACCAGTTGCCAACAAGCCCTCGTCTGTGCCCCAGGTCCACGTGAACTTGCTGCTCCTGGAGGCCCGCATGCAGGCTGCCCTTCTCTACGCCCTCCGTGCCATCACCCGCTACATGACCTGACTGTGAGCAGGATCTGGGCCCGGAGCAGCTGACCCTGGGGGCATCCTCCTCCCTGCAAGGACTTCTCTTTCTGGAGACAGACCCCGGTCCTTTTCTGTCCCAGCCCCCCCTCCCCACTCAGGAGGGGGGCTTGTGTGTGACGTGCAGCCCCCGAGCTGTACCCTCCTTTTTCTCACCAGAACGGACAGGATCATTGCATTGACTCTGACATCTCAGCTCTGCCCTCGGGAGCTGGAAGAGGAGGACTAGCGGATCCCAAGAGACCACGCCCCTCTTCCTGCCCCTGACCCGAGGCAGAGGGCACCGGAGGGAAAAGGAGCTGAGCTCAGACTCGCGTGCCAGCAGGCTGGGCCGCAGGCATCACAAAATACCGCGGCCTTCCTGGACTTGGAAGTCCCTGGCTGGCCCCCGAAGGAGAGGGGCAGACGCCTCCCGGGACTGACACTCCAAGCAGCTTTGCCCTTCCTCCTCCTCCTTCCCTCCCAGATTTCATTACCTCTCACCTGCCATTCACCCATCAATGTGAAAGTCCGTGTCACAGCTGGTCTGTGTGTTCGGCTCCCAAGAAGCCCGTTCTGTTGGGCAGCCTGAAGCCCCCCGTTTCCTAGTTGCCCTAATCCTAGTTTAGCGCCTCTGACCTCCTTCATCTTCTTGCTCTGTTCCCCCAGGCCTGGTGGGTGAGGCCCCGGGAGAGAGAGCAAGCACATCAAAAAAGTAGATTATCTCCAGAGAGCTTGGGGTGTCGGTGGGTCCCTTTGCCTTCTGAACGGGAGGGAGGATTATAAATTTCCTGTATTTTGGTTCTTGGTGGGTGAGGTTCTTCGGGGCCTCCATTCTCTAGCCACAGGCAATGCCTGAGAGGAGAAGGACAAGGAGAAAGCTGTTCTGCGCAGAGCTGCACCTGCCCTTCAGGGACGGCATCCCACTCTCCCATCTCCCGTGGCTCTGCCACAGACATTTCCCGACCAGTGAGCCTTCCTACGCGGCTTAGGAGGAAGGGGCCCAGGAGGGAGAGTCAGGAGACCCCAGGGTTCTTATTTGGGTGCGGCCCAAACTGGTCAGGTGACCACGGGGCTATGTTGCCAAACATCTTTGACCTCCGTTTTTACAGTTGCACACTGAGGGCTGATCCGTTACGTGATGTCCGAGTCTCCTCTGGGCTTCTCAGGCCAGCCCGCCAGCAGCAAAGTGCAAATCTTGCAGAATCTCAAAGGCCTCTAGGGACACCCCGCCCTGGCAGTCAGTCTCTCCTGGCCACCTTCCAAGGACAACTCCCCACCCCAGTTTCTGGCCCCTCCTCGATTTTAGGTGGATTGCTCGGAGGCAGAAGCGGCCAAGGACCAATCCCAGGCACTTTCTGTAGCAAATAAGCTGTGAATTATGACGGCCCTTGCCTCTCTTCTGGCAGTATGTGCCTCCTCTCTGACCAGTTTGGAGGTTACTGAAGAAAGGCAAGGGTCATGCTGCTGCTGCTTCTGACCCTCGTCTCTGGAGAGGGGCAGAAGAGGAGTCCGTTCAGCGTGCCACATTTCACACCCATGCAGGCATGGGGAGACAGCTGGCACCCCTTTCGGGCCTCAGGCCCTCTGTGCGATAAAGCTGAACAGGAGGGGAGAGGCTCCAGCATTGGGGTTCTGATTCTAGAAGGGACATCATGACTCTGTAAATGTCCCCCGGGGAGTTCGGGAGGGGTATCTAGTGTTCAAGTGCAGAAATCTTTGGCTTTGCTACCAGTTCTGTATGCTGAGAAATAAAAGTCCACTGAGGTTTTGTTTTGTACGTCTTGTTAATGGGCTGTTTTTCCATTTCCAGGGGTCATGGTTCATCTCCGCATAAGCAGGAGCTGTGATTGCATCATGGGCCTGGCCTGCTAGTCCCTTTTGCCCAGTGACTGCAGGGCTGGGAGTGGTTGGCATTAAAAGTATTCTGTCCCCTTGGGTGCCCAGCCCCACCCCCATCAGTGGCTGGCCTGGCATTGTGGAATAATAATGGCCATGTTATTTTTCTCACTAATCCTGGCCTGGACTTGGAGGCCATTTTTCTGAATCTGTGAGAGAATTTAGACCCAGGGGTAAAGTGATGTTGCTGAGGCTATATAGGTAGTGGTGGAGCTGGGATTCCAGCCAGGGTGTGCTTGACCCTGAGGCCTCAGCATTTCACTCGCTGCTATTCCCACTATGGGTCTCCTCACTGTAACCAAAGGGAGGCGGTTTGAGCATCTCTGGGGACCCCTTGTGTCCCCTGCTCAACCGCACGCTTACCTGCTTCTCATCTCTTCGCCAGCACCAAGAAGACAGAACCAGGTGTGAAGAGTTAGATGTGACCACATTGTGCCAGGGCCATTTAGTAGCTGTGTGATCTTGGTCACGCTTCTCAGCTTCTCTAGGGCACCAGGAACTCAAGTAAGCTTATCAGGGAGATCACATTATGACTAAGAGCTAAGACCTCTTCTGTTGGCTTCCCACTTCCTCTGAACACTGCTGTCCTAAACTGAAAACTGGGTCTCCTCCTAGAAGCCTCCCCTGATTAACTCCATGTTTCCTTTTCCCTTTACCCTCTTCATATTTGTGGCCTTTTATATACTTGTTCTTTCTAAGTCATCTAAGGGGATGTGAGAGAACAAATCAGATTTGGAATACAAAACTGGGATTCTGGTCCTGACTTAGTCACTTCTTACCCCCAGGTTGGGGGAGAGCTGATTAATTTCATTGGGCCTCAAGTTTACTCTGCCCTAAAAACAGGCAAACGTTTTCAGTTCTTTCCCAGGTAGCATTATTGAATGACTTTTGCCAAATGTTTTCAAGTTTACTATCAAGCTTTACAACCTTGTGAGCAAGGAGTGGTGTTCCCATTTTATAGATGTGGAAAAAGGAACCTCAAGGCAAAGTCTATGGAACACCTACCCAACAGTTACACCCAGGTTTGAATTCCAGCTTTGATGTTTAGTATCTATCTCAACCATAAGAAAATTCAATTCGCAGTACCTATGGGCACAGGAAGGTTGTATGGACTAGATAATGCATACAAAACACCTAGCACAGTCCAGGTGGCTGGCACTCAGCCCTAGTGAGCTATTTCATTCAGTATTTATATACCTGCCCAACATCACCCAACTCAGAGTTGTCACTCTGATTCCAGATCATTGCTATTGTCCCCAAACTTCCGAGGCCTTCAATCTGAATTTAAAAAAATCCTCCTCAAGTTGGGGCGCCTGAGTGGCTCAGCTGGTTAAGTGTTCGACTCTTGGTTTCTGCTCAGATCATGATCTCACAGTCCATGGGTTCAAGCTCCATGTTGGGCTCTGCGCGGACAGCACAGCGCCTGCTTGGGATTGATTCTCTCCCTCTCTCTCTGCCCCTCCCCCTGTTCTCTCTCCCAAAATAAACTTTAAAAACAATATTTAAAAGACATCCTATTCAAGTTAATTTGCGTGTGGCATTGAAAAAAATTTTTTTATAGTTTATTTATCTTTGAGACAGAGATACAGAGCATGAGCAAGGGAGGGGCAGAGAGAGAGAGACGGAGACACAGAATCTGATGCAAGCTCCAGGCTCTGAGCTGTCAGCGCAGAGCCTGATGTGGGTCTCAAACCCACAAACCGCGAGATACGACCTGAGCCAAAGCTAGACGCTCAACCAACTGAGCCACCCAGGCGCCCCAGCATGTGGCACTGAAAATGCTGGGCTCCAGATTGGCTCTAACGAGTCTGTTCTAGACTTCCTCCTGCAATCCAGGACCTGGGCACACCTATCCAGGCTGGAGTCTGTCCTTGGTTGCCGGGTGGTTTGATTTATTGTTTGGCTTTGGAAGACTGTGAGAGTAGGTAGGGACGGGATCTGGGTGAGGCTCCTCCAGCAGATTGCAAACATCCACCAGAGCCCTGGGACAAGTGGAATGAAGTGGTTCTCAAACTTGTGCCTTGGCACCTCTGAGAGAACCAGTGTTTGGAGGCAGAGCTGAGAAATTTGCATCTTGAGCAACTCTCCTGTCCCGCTGCCAAGGCCAGCTTTCATTTAACATATTGTGCATCTACTGTGTGAATTCACTGGACACAGCAGTGAACAAGACAGGCCTGGTTCCTACCCTTTGGGGGATTTATTGTCAAGTGGAAGAGACCAATCAGTAGATCAGTACAACTAATTACTTAAATTATAATTATGATCAGGAGCTCAAAGGGGAAATCGGAGGTGCTATAGGAGCATTTACAAACTGACAGCAGGGCTTTTTCTTCCAAAGAAATATGTCGGACCTTTGCAGAAACTAAAACCCACCCAAGAAAAGCAGTTTTTCGCCCACTGCACCTCCTTGGAAGCTGGGGGCTCCGTGGGAGAGTTAGAAAACTGTTAATCTGGGGCGCCTGGGTGGCTTAGTCGGTTAAGCGTCCGACTTTCGTTTAGGTCATGATCTCGCGGTTCGTGGGTTCGAGCCCTGCGTCGGGCTCTGTGCTGACTGCCAGCTCAGAGCCTGGAGCCTGTTTCAGAGTCTGTCTCTCCCTTTCTCTCTGACCCTCCCCTGCTCACGCTCTCTCTCTCTCTCTCCTAGAAATAAATAAAAATATTAAAAAAAAAAAAAAAGGAAAGAAAACTGTTAATCTGCATTCCTCCGTAATGGGTGCTGTGGTAGGCAACCCACCATGTGGCCCTTATTTCATCCTGTGGCCCCACCCCATTGGGAGTGTTGGTAGCTGCAGGGTCTCAGCTGAGTCCCTCTCTGGGAGCTGCCCTGGACTGAAGAGAGCTACCTCGCCCACAGCTATGCCCCCTCCAGCCATTCTAGTCTGCCTTCAATGACTAGTGGATGGGAGAGGCGTATACAAAGGCCTGGCCACATGCCCCCACGGGAAACGGCCCTGAAGTCCCACCTCTAGTGCTCCCTTTACGAGCCCCACGCTGCAGGAGTGCCACAGCCCAACTCGTGCCCTGTCTTGCCGCCCTCTGCCCCCTGCCCTATGGTTCTGATCCCCATTAAACCTCCTGTATGCAAATGTCCACCTCAGGGTCTGCTTACAGATGGTGAAAATAAAAGAGCGGAGAGGGGAGACGAGACGATTTGCTCGAGATCTCACAAGCCTGAACCTTCAGATCCTTGTCATAGTTTGTCACCACCCTATGTCCGTCCCACAGCTTCCTGTCTTGACCTTTTCTTCCGAGGTTGGAGGCAATAGCTGCAGTGTGAAAGGGCCAGACTCGATGTTCACTCCCATCCCCACTCCCACGGCTGGGGACTTCGGGCCAGTCATTTCCTGTTTGGGGAGAAGGTTAAGCACCCTGTCTGAGTGCCCCATCTTCTCCCAAGGCTGCCTGGGTGTGATGGCCCTGCTCCTGAGAAAAGCCATGGCTCAGCTGGTGATAGCAACAGAGAGTCCTTCCCCTCAGGCCTGAATCACCTCTGACCTCCCTGCTGGTACCTGGGGGGGGTGGGCCTTGAGCTTCTGTCCCAGTTCTGGGTATCTAAATTTTTAAAATGTTTTTTATTGGGGCGCCTGGGTGGCTTAGTCGGTTAAGCGTCCGACTTTCGCTTGGGTCATGATCTCGCAGTTCGTGGGTTCGAGCCCCGCGTCGGGCTCTGTGCTGACTGCCAGCTCAGAGCCTGGAGCCTGTTTCAGAGTCTGTCNAAAATACAACATAACAAAATGTATGGGATGCCACAAAAGCAGTTCGAAGAGAGAAGTCTGTATAGATAAATGCCTATATCAAGAATCAAAAAAGATCTCTAATAAACAATCTACCTTTACACCTCAAAGAACTTTAAACTAGAAAATGAATCAACAATGGGATGCCTGGGTGGCTTAGTCGGTTAAGCGTCCGACTTTCGCTTGGGTCATGATCTCGCAGTTCGTGGGTTCGAGCCCCGCGTCGGGCTCTGTGCTGACTGCCAGCTCAGAGCCTGGAGCCTGTTTCAGAGTCTGTCACTCCCTCTCTCTCTGACCCTCCCCTGCTCATGCCGTCTCTCTCTCTCTCTCCTAGAAATAAATAAATCATGGGTGGCCATGAGGAAGGGTGAGGCTAAGGAGCAAGCCCAGAGCAGATCTGTCATGGCCTTGCAGGGCATGGATTTTATCCTGTGGGCCATGGGAAGTCTTCAAAGGAGATTTCGTTGTGTATTACAACATAGATGCTATGGATCAAATGTTCGTGTCCCCCTCAAATTTGTATGTTGAAACCCCAACCCCCAATGTGATGATATTTGGAGGTGGGGACTTGGGAGGTAACTAGATTATGAGCCTGGGGACTTTGTGATGGGATTAGTGCCCTAATAAGAGCCACGAGAGAGCTTGCTCCCCACCCCCAAACTATGAGATCATGACCTGGACAAGGGCTCTCATGAGGGACCAAATCAGCTGGTACTTTGATCTTGGACTTCCCAGACTCTGGAAGCATGAGAAATAAATTTCTGCTGTTTAAGCCACTCTGTCTAAGGTATTTTTTGTCAGAGCAGTTGAACTAAGACTGTGGATAGTATTTATTAGAAGAATAGAGAAGGTGGTAAGATGTATTTAAGACTTTCTACGTGCCAGGCACTCCACTAAGGACTTCATAAATATGAACTTCTTTAATCTTCACGACAGCCATGTATAGCAGAGCCTATCATTAGCTCCATTCTACAGATGGGCATAACTGAACCTAGATGCAAAATTCCCCCCATCCGGAAAGATTTCTCTAGCTCCCCATCTCCACCCTGACTACACATCTTCCTTCTTTGATCTATCTTACCAAGTCCTTCTGTTTCTCCAAAGCATTTTTTTTCCTGTTTAGTATTAATTATGGTCTTTCCTGTGA